TCCCGCAGCTCACCTTCGGCCGCGGGAAGGAGTACCTGAAGCACATCATGGAGGTGCACAAGGAGAAGGGCTATGGCTGCAGCATCTGCCACCGCCGCTTCGCGCTCAAGGCCACCTACCACGCGCACATGGTCATCCACCGCGAGAACCTGCCGGACCCCAACGTGCAGAAGTGAGCGGGCCTTCCTTCCCCCAGGCGCTCCCGAGGGCCCCGCTGTCCGCCCGTCGTGTCGGGGTCTGATCTTCCAGTGCCCTGGCTTCCCGCCTGAGTGCTGTGCAGGCCCCGTGTGCCTGGGCGCTCGTTCTGGGCCCGGGGTCGGGGTTGTGTCGTGTCGACCACGTGGCCCCTCGGTCCCTGTCCCCTGGGTGCGCTGGGGAGGGGTCGCCTGGGCTGGCCCGAGCAGCCGTCTGCCCTCAGGTACATTCACCCCTGCGAGATCTGCGGCCGCATCTTCAACAGCATCGGGAACCTGGAGCGCCACAAGCTCATCCACACGGGTGCGTGGCCGGCTTCCCCTGCCTTCCCAGCCCCCTCCCCGCCCTCAGCCGCCGGGCACCAGCGTCCCCCACTGCCCCACAGGTGTGAAGAGCCACGCGTGCGAGCAGTGCGGGAAGTCCTTCGCCCGCAAGGACATGCTGAAGGAGCACATGCGCGTGCACGACAACATCCGGGAGTACCTGTGCGCAGAGTGCGGCAAAGGTAGGCGCCACCGACATGCAGACCCGAGTGCAGCGCGGCCAGAGGCTGGAGCCCAAAGGCCGAGGCCCCAAGGGCATAGACAGCATTTCAAAAGCAGAGCAAGCGCTCCCTGTAGTTGCTTACAGTGCAGTGAATCCAGGAGGTAAAGTAGCCCAGTAAACAAGAAGGCGGCAGGCCCGTCCTGCTGTGCTCCTTTCCTTCTCTCCCTCCTTCCTTTCTTGATTCAACCCGGGGCCTTTGCATTAAGCCCTTTCCACTTTGTTTTGAGGCAGCATCTCGCTCAGTCAGCTGCCCAGACTGGGTTGGAGTTTACGACCCTCCTGCCTCAGCCTCCCAGTGTGCTGGGATCACAGTCACAGGCCACTGTGCCTGACTCGAGTTCCTGTCCAAAAGACCTAGAGCCTCCAGCAGGGGGACCCTGCCCCTGACAGCCGCATCTCCTGTCAGGGCTGAGGTAGAACGTCTGCGCTCAGACAGGAGACACCACGCTTCTGTGTTGTGCCGTTAGTGACTTCGGGGTTTTATGCTCCGTAAGTGGTTTTATTTTGTCTTTCCTTTGGCTTTTAGAAACATTAAACAGAACAGCATAAAGAAAGCTCAGTGGCTGTGTAACCCAGCCGGCCAGCAGTCCCACTTATCCCATGGGAAAGAGTAGTTTGTGAGCTGGGCATGTGGCTCACAGGTGTAAGCCCAGCACTTGGGAGGCTGAGGCAGGTGGATTGCCATGAGTTGGAGGACGGAGTTCAACTCATAGCCAAAAAAAAAAAAAGAAGAAACAGTAGCATGTAAAGGTTAAAGGATGTGCTGTGGAGGTGATTCCCTCAGACCCCTCCAGAGGCTGGGACACTTCAGCAAGGGAGCTGGGCTGTGTCACTGACCAAGCCCCACAGGTGGATGCGAGGCCTCAGCCCCCTCCCTCCTCAGCCTTGAAAAGGTGAATTTCTTAAACTTGGAGCCAGTCCTGCTGGGAGGAGCTCCAACAGGCAGGGAGACTATGGGGTGCCCTGGAGTCCCCGCCGACCCTCAGGGCCTGGTGGTGGATACTGAGCACTGGGAGGCTGAGGTCAGGCCCCGTATTTTGTGTTTTGCGGTACCACGGATCGAACTCAGGACCTTGAACTTGCCAGGCAAGTGCAGCGCCACTGAGCCACACCCCTTGCCCTGGCCCTGTGCCCGAGCACTTGTAATAGCGGGTGCACCTGAGCATTTGGGACCTCACGTCCTGAGCACCTTGCTCGCTTGTGTGATGAACACGGGCAGTGAGCCCGCAGTACGGTCATTCCACGTGAGCTGGAGCGTGGGGTCGCCTGGCCGGCTTTGCAGTCACCATACAGGCAGGCGAACGTCGTGCTTGATTGTTCTTTACCTAAAAATTCACTCAGAGCTTTCCAGTCGGATCGTGGACTTGTTGCCCATTTAAAGTAGCTTCCCTGCGGCTGCACGGCCTGGAGCCGGACAACCTCACGGAGGAGGTTTGTCCTGCCTTGGCACCGCTTGTCCTTGCCAGCAGTGTGGCGGGGAGGCTCCTGCTCGGGGTGACTGGACTTTATCCCTGGAAATTCCAGAGCGGCCCCCAGGCCTGGCCGCTGCCCGGGACGCCGTGCCGTAATCAGTGAGAAACCCGCCTTTCTCAGATTCACTCCGTGCTGACACGTTCAGGAATGACCCGCCAGACGTGTGCGGCCCAAGAGCAAAGGCCGTTTGGCGACCTGCAGAGGGCCGGCCTCTCCTGGGTGGCATTTTGAACCACTTTCTCCCCATTGGCTCACCTTTCGTACCCAGTGGCAGTCGGGTTTATTTCAAAACTGTTCATCTGGCATTTCTGAAAAATGCAAAGAAAAAGGATGGTCGTGGTGCCGCACGCCAGTGATCCTAACTTCTGGGAGGCAGAGGCAGAAAGATCACAAGTTTGGACCCCAGAGTGGGAAACAGTGAGACCTCATCTCAGAATTTTAAAAAAAGGCTTGGATGGAGCTTAGTAAAGAGGCCCTGGATTCAATCCCCAGTGCTGCAAAAAATTAAAAAAAGGAAGACAACAATCACTGTCACAAATGTTTGTGCTGGGAGGGGCGGGCGTGCTCTTGCTGGGGCCAGAGAGCGTACAGTTAGAGAGGCAGCCACAAGGTCCCCCTGAGGTGGGCGGAGCTGATGGCAGGCTGAGCACCCCTAATTCACAAACCCAAAATCTGAAATTCTCCAAAATTGGAAACTTTGAGCCCTGAACTGAGGTTCTGGAATTCTCCCTCTCCCTCTCTCTCTCGGTACCAGGAATCAGACTCAGAACCTTGCCTCGTGTAAGGCAGGCGGCAGAACCACTGAGCTAAATTCCCGGCCCTTAGGAATTTTCTGATTTTGAAGCAGTGTTCATTTCAGATTTTCAGCTTGGCCATCAAGTCTAGGCAAATATTCCAAAATTTGAAAAACTCCCAAATCTGAAACACTTCCAGCCCTGAGCACTCTGGGTAGGGGATGCTCTGCCCACCCTTGTGGTGTGAAGATTGGCCTAGCGTGAGCTGGCAGCCACTTTGTGTTAGGCAGCCCGAGACATGGAGGGAGGTATAAGTCCCAAGCACTCTGGCACCTTGGCCCAGGACGCCTGCCCATGTGCTCCCTGGAAGGCCACTCCTGGCCCTGCTCTGTACACTGCTCTCCGCACCTAAAAGGAGCCCTCGAGGCTCAGTGCTGGGCACATGGTCAGGGTGCAGGTGTTTGTTGAATGAATAAATGAAAATGAGGAGAGGCGAAAAGCTGTGAAAACAGTGTGGGTGTGGGGCTTCGAGGGCCACACCAGTGTCCCTCACAGAAGAGCAGAAAGGCAGTCACTGAGGGTGGCGTCACCTTGGCACTGTCACACGGGCGGAGAGCGGTTCCTGGGAGCAAGAGCTCTGGACCTGGAGGACCTCACGCCCTGTCCTTTCTGTCCCATAGTGAGGTGGTGTGTGACTCTTGAATCAAAAGGGTTTTTTTGTGTGTGTGATACCATGGATTAAACCCAAGGCCCCTGTGCTGAGCCATATCCCCAGCCCTTTTTACTTTTTATTTTGAGGCAGTGTCGTTAAGTCAGTCACTAAATTGCATGGCCTGGCCTGATTCAGGATCTTCCTGCCTCAGCCTCCCAGTGTGCTAGGATTACAGGTGTGCACCACTAGTCCTTGGAAGGTGAGACAGCTGTGCACAGCTGGCCTCTTCTGCCAGAGCGGGGGCATGAGGCTCCCTCTGCTGGCCCGAATAGCAGTGCCGCTTCCATCCTGGGCTCCAGGTTGCAGAATTTTGGCTTGGCGCTGGCCATGTTTTCCAGGCTGCCTGGCCGCAGGCTCGGCCCCTCCTGCAGCTCCTTCCAGGGTGCGCTGCAGCAGGGCCCCTGCTGGCCTCTGCTGGGTCCTCCAGGCTACTGAGCAGGGTTCTAGGGCTTCCTCCCTTCCCCGTCCGGTCCCCGTCCCCCAGGCCTCGTGCTGGGTTCACCATCATCTCAGTCCATGAGGCTCTGGCTCATTTCAGCTCCTCACGACTGGGGCACGCACGTCATTCCAGCACTCAGGAGGCTGAGGCAGGGGTGTGCCACGGCGCGCTTGAGGCCAGCCGCGAGAGCCCGTCTCAGTAAACAGCCAGGATTGGCGCCATTACATCAAAAGCCGATCCGAAGGCACCCCCGAACCCACCCACCTTGCAGGGTCCTTGGTCAGCCTGTGTCTCCCAGCGGGCTGGAACCCGAATGGCCCCGCGGCCTCCCCATCGTGACGCGGGGCCAGCAGGGCCGGGCCCACCGAGCGCTTCCGTCCCCAGGCATGAAGACCAAGCACGCTCTGCGCCACCACATGAAGCTGCACAAGGGCATCAAGGAGTACGAGTGCAAGGAGTGCCACCGCAAGTTCGCGCAGAAGGTCAACATGCTCAAGCACTACAAGCGGCACACGGGTGAGCGCCGGCGCG